AATTATATAATATTAAACATGTGCCTGAATGTTTTTTACAAAATTTATGTATTTTTCATTTTTTGTATTTTTATTATTTATTTATGACATTAAATATTAACACATTCACAAAAGTTAAATTATTAATCTTTGCCAAACAGTAAAATAATTTCATTTTTTGTTAGTTCTAGTTTATGTATTTTTTTTCGTTATCAATAAAAAATAATTTTTGTTTATTACACTTATTTTTTAATTTGATTGAAAAAAAGTATCATATAATTGTGTATAATGTTTTCTACATTTTTGTAATCTTCTATATTTATTTCTATTTTAAAAACTTTATTACCTAACTATGACTTCATAGGTTGATCAATTTGATTCAGATAGTTTAATTGCTTAGCCACCACTTGGATAAAGAATGGTTTTCTTTTCGAGTCAATTTTAAAATATATGGGTTTATATATTTAAAAATTTTTATATACATCTAATTAGTAGCACTTATTAGTGAAAAAAACAACTTCAATGTAAGATTTAATAAGAGAAAATGGGAGTTAATACTTTAATTATAAGACTTAATGTGAGGAGATTAAATTAAGTGAAAAGTATATTCGAATGTGATTTTGATTAGACACATGACTATTTGAATTTGGTTCGATATTTGATAGAGCTTTAAAATGATAAACCGAATTCGAATTCGTCTTAATCATTGAATATCCAAATTCGATTCAAATTTGACAAATTATAATACTGTCTTGGGCTTTGGAATTTAAACTGAAATAAAACTTACCTCTCATCAATACTCAATAGACTTTTCAATTAATGAAGTTCTCATATGCAAGCGGGATTTGAAGTAGGATAAAGGAACGCAACTTCAACCTTCGGTATCTCACATTGTGGCATCACCAACTCATCAAGGATGAAATGCAAGGCAACGTTGAGATCAATAGATGATGAAAGCCACAACAAATGTGGCAACTAGAAAGTACCAATGTGATGAATTAGGAAGCTAGGAAGGTGATCCTTCTATTCAGAAAGATTGTAGTCATAAATTTCCTCCTTTCCATTAGAGATAGCAGCTGCATCTTATATTAAGAAAGCAAAAAAAGTCATGGCTTTAAAATTGACGACTTTAATCAAGAATAGGAGAAATGGAAGAAAAAAAGAAAAGAAGAAATAGCATCAAGCCAGTGGTGTTACATGCAAGGACAACACTAAAGAAGGTGAAACCTCTACATTCAAACAAAGACCAGATATGCAGAGTGAGGAGAAAATAAAGAAGAGAAATCTTTGAGAGAGGGGAAGGATCGTTGATTAAGGGAAGAAAAGGGGAGAGTGAAATTCCTCCTTTGTCTAAAAGGAAAAGGGTTAACATTGGGTCAAAATTTAAGCGCAAATGGTTGTTATCGCAAATTACCATAAAAAACAAAAATGGCTTACAACTGACAACTTTTTTTATATGATATATATTTATATAATTTTGTTTATAATATATAATTAGTCAGTTATACATTTAACAAATTGAATCAAGTAATATTTGAATTCAATTCAATTAGATAAATGGTGTCTTTTAATATTCGAATTCGACAGAGTGAGATATTCAAATTATCCAAATTTGACTCAATTATGCTGAATCTTGAATTCCAATTCAAAGTTTTAGATACATGTTAAACCCCTAATAGTGGTCAAACTGCCACGAACACCTAAGTGGTAAGTGTCATGTGTCCATGCATACAATATTACACCATACCCGATCACTATAGTGGTTGCCAATAGAAAAGCCCATTAACACCTCATTTTTTCTGTTCAACCATGCAAACTTGTAAGGGTAAGGATGTTGTTGGTTTTTCAAATTCCACTTGTGCATTGATTCTTCTGATAAAACATTCTCATAACTTCCGCTATCAATTATGCGGATTGTTATCTTTCCACCTATAGTACAAGTGTGGATGATATTACTTTTATGCCAATTTGATAATTCATCATTGCTAYGAGTTAGGAATGATCACTACATCACTAAGACTTCACCTATATGATAATATCCCATACACCAATTCACCTTCTAAGGTCTCGTCATCATATGAGTGAAACCCAAGTGGAGTTATATAGTCCAATGCTCTAACTTAGGATTCACCCTCGTCTTCCACAAACATCACTCATTTCTTTTTATCACTCCTTGTGCATTCATTAGATCTATGACCTGGTTTGACTACATTTAACACTTCAACCAAAATAAACCAACTTGGTTTTGGTTTGGTCCATTACCCTRGTTATGATTTGACCTATAAGACTATGGTTGGGTGGTTAGATTTTTGGATTGGATTTGGGTTCCCACGTGGAGGTGGTGTGGTCACATTTGCTTGGATTCAACCCAATTGGTTAGGTTTGTTACTTTGTTTTTCTATGGAAAAGCATGTTGRTGTATCATAGAAATATTATAACAATCAAATAGGTCAAATACATCCTAAATATTTGGTCTCAACCCACCAATGTACCTAACCACTAATTAGTTTTCAATTTTAGTTAACTCGTTTTGGGCCATTAACAGATGAAATTTATTTGTATACTCATCTATTATATCACTTCTTTATATTAGATTGCAATTCTTGGTAAAGTAAATAAATATAATTATGGGGTAAAAATTCTAATCTCAT